CTCTCCCCCCGGGGCCGGGGGGAGGGCGCCGGGGGGAGGGGCGGCCAGAGCGCCGGGGGGAGGGCGGCGAGCTCGGCCGTGGCCCTGCTCTCCCCGGGGGCCGGAGCGCCGCACCGCCCCCCTCCAGGTGCCGCCCCAAGCACAAGCTTGGTGGGCTGGTGCCTGGAGCCGGCCCTGGGGGTGAGTTGTTAGTAGATTGTTGTAATAAACCATCAATCCAGCATCTCTATTTGGTCCATGATTTTTAGTGCCTAGCAAAATTATGAATTTAAGCTCCTAGGCTAGTCTTTTGGAAGTGTTGTGCAGGTGTCTTTTGAGGATGAGGATTGATAGGTCAGATATAGAGTGATCACTTTGTGAAAAATGACAGGTTTCAGAGTAGCAGCCGTGTTAGTCTGTATCCGCAAAAAGAACAGGAGTACTTGTGGCACCTTAGAGACTAACAAATTTATTAGAGCATAAGCTTTCATGGGCTACAGCCCACTTCTTCGGATGCATAGAATGGAACATATATTGAGGAGATATATATACACACATACAGAGAGCATGAACAGGTGGGAGTTGTCTTATATGCAAACTAGATACAATCAATTTAGGATTGAATAAGGACTGGGAATGGCTGAGCCATTACAAACATTGAATCTCTCTCCCCTTGTAAGTATTCTCACACTTCTTATCAAACTGTCTGTACTGGGCTATCTTGATTATCACTTCAAAAGTTTTTTTTCACTTACTTAATTGGCCTCTCAGAGTTGGTAAGACAACTCCCACCTGTTCATGCTTTCTGTATGTGTGTATATATATCTCCTCAATATATGTTCCATTCTATGCATCCGAAGAAGTGGGCTGTAGCCCACGAAAGGTTATGCTCTAATAAATTTGTTAGTCTCTAAGGTGCCACAAGTACTCCTGTTCTTTTTGTGAAAAATGTTCACCCACAAGTGATATGGTGTTTTTGTCTTTTATCATTTTCCTGGGAGAGTCCGCTCGAGAGCGTAGTGATTGTTTGGTTTCACTCACATACATAGGCGCCGACTCTGGGCTGGAGCACCCACGGGGAAAAAATGGGGGATGTTGAGCACCCATCGGCAGCCCCCCTATCAGAACCTCCCCCCTCCCCCCAGCGCCTCCTGCCCATTGACGGGCCCCACCAATCAACACCTCCCTCTCCCTCCCCACCTCTCCCGCCTGCTGCAATCAGCTGTTTTGTGGCATGCGGGAGGCTCTGAGGGCGAGGGGAAGGAGCAAGGATGCAGCGTGCTTGGGGAAGGGGGTGGAATGGTGGGAAGAGGCAGGTGGGGATGGAGTGGGAGGGGGCCTGGGGCAGAGCCGGGGGTTGAGCACCCCCCTGCACATTGGAAAGTCGGTGCCTGTGCCCACATAGTTGCTATTGGGGCATTTTGTGCATGGGATGAGGTATACCACATGTTGTGATAGGACCCAGGGATCTTGAAAGTTTGGTGGTCCAATAAAAGATATTACCTCACCCACCTTGTCTATATACAACATTAATTATCCATCTGCTAAATATAGTCCACGAATCCTTATTCTGGTAAATCTCCTCCCACTTACTTCATGGACTGGATAAGAACTACAGGATTTGGCCTATACTTTAAATTTCTATAACAACTTTTTTTTTCCGAATTTTCAGGGATGTGTGAATATCTTGCTTTTGTCTTCTGTGGGGGAACTCCTACGGTAAATACTTTACATTTTAAATGTAATTTTAAAAACTGACAAAAATGCAGTTTCTTCACCTATTTAACTGAACACTACAAATCTTTGTAAGTGTTATCACGGAGGTTAACTGTGCTCATTTTCTTCTGTTACACTGATCTGTACTTTTAACTGACATCCCCAAAGCATTCTGGCTCTTGTGTCTGCAGAGGTATCAAGTTGATATCAACTAGTGCAGCAGGCTTCCAAGTGTCAGAGGATACTAAACTTGGATGCAGAGAAAATGAAGAGAAGTACAGCAGATTCAAAACTATTTAGACACCTACATGATTAAGCCAACAGGTGGCACTTGTTCAGTGTCTGTGGCCAAATCATTTGCCCATCTCCTAGTAGAATCATAGAAATGTAGGGCTGGAAGAGACTTCCACAGGTCATCTAGTCCATCCCCCGGTGCTGTGGCAGGACCAAGTAAACTTAGACCAGCCCTGACAGATGTTTGTCTAACCTGTTCTTAAAAACCTCCAGTCATGCGGATTCCACAACCTCCCTTGGAAGCCTATTGCAGAGCTTAACTACCCTGATAGTTAGAAAGCTTTCCTTAATATCTACCCTAAATCTCCCTTTCTGCAGATTAAGCCCATTACTTCTTGTCCTTCCTTCAGTGGACAACAAAGTTCATTTATTTACCAGGGGACACCTGTAAGGACTCTGACTACTAGTCATTTTTCAAAGGGTTGAAGGGTTGGACTGTGAAACAATTTCCACTTCCACTCAGCTGGCTTGAAATCCTAAGCCTTCGACACCAATGGTCAGAAATCCAAACCCTTATGTTTTGGGCAACGTTTTATGAACTGTTTCCCCAGTGTTGCTCCTAGCCGCTATGACACTTGAAACATTCTCAACAATTGTTGGCATTAAAATCCCAGCATAGGGAGTTAGCAGTTTAACTTCACTTGTAACTTGGCCAGTTGTTTCAATAAGCAAACGTGTTGGGACAGCTGGTAAGGGACGGCTTGTGTTTGCTACATTTAAAAAAGCCCAAGGAAGTATATGTAGAGGGTGTCAGAAATTGCTGGACCAACTTGTTAGTATCCCAAAAGGCAAGATAAATAGCTACAGTCTTTTGAAATAACAACCTCAGGTTGGGAGCTTAATGCCAGAAATAGTCCAGATTTTAGGAGCGGTGCACGACCAAGAAGGGTGAGGAAATATTTGCTTCCATCCTAGTACTTAAGGATGATGGTTGCCATTTCTCTTCTCTTCTTTGTACCTCGATTTTTCAGAACATGGAAGAAACTGCCAAAAGCTGAAAACCTGCCTAGTATTGGCATTGAGAATGCTGTTCTTTCTCCAAATGTGACTTACATTCGTTGGAAAGTGCATGGGGACTGGGTTACACAGGTAAAAGAACCAAAATCCTTCCTGACTCCAAAAGAAATAAAATAGAAAGTTTTCTACAAAAGAAATCGCCATGGGAATAAGTAAATAAGATTTCAGCCACAGCATCTAGTCAGTCTACAGAAAAAACTCTCTTACTTGTCATTTAGAATAGCACTGTCAGCAGTATGATAGGAAGGACAGGGAAATGGCACAAACTGTCAAACTTGATATAAGAAAGAATGAAGGCTTGACAATAGAGAATAAGACATGAAATTCAGATTGAAAATTGTGAAGCCCAAATTCAACAACTGTTTAGTTTTCAATTTGACTTCAGTAGTGCAAGCTTTTAAAGTTAGGCACGTGTATAAGTTCCTTGCTGATTGGGACCTGAATGAGGAGAGATCTGAGTTTGGGATTACTGCACCTCCAGGATCCAAAGTCAGAAGCAAAAGGAGAACGGGCATGGAACTAAAGAAATGCTCTCGATCTTTTATAGCCCTGACTGCAAGGTGTACAAATTTTGAAGTTGTCACTGCCCCTGGACTGAACGTTGCCCATCCTGGACCTTTCAACAGTGTCATTTTGGGGGATAAGAAGGAAGGATTTGGTAGCTCTCTGAAGCTATTCTGAGTTTTGGAACGATAAAGGTAGTCCCAGTGGAGATGGGCTAGTGGCATATTTATACATTGACTCACCAGCTAAATCTGATGAGATAAACAGAGCCCTGCAAATCTGTGGATATCCGCTTTTTATCCATGGACCATCCTTTCGGATTGTGGATTGGATGTGGATACAAATTTTGTATCTCAGCAGGGCACTAGAGATAAACTGTATTTATTATAGCACCATATGTTTTTCTAAAGCTATGCCCTCATATCTAGAAAGACTTTTAGGCCCAAATTTTAGCCCCATTGCACAGACCAATTAACTGGGTCACTATTGCAGCCTCAGCACTGGAGTAACCTCTGCACAGTTTACACCCCTTTCATATCTAGAGTAATGGCTTCCTCTTCCCCCAGCCCCAGTGTGCTCGTCATTGGATCAGTGTGGCTCAGACGTCGGGTTCCCAAATCCTGAACCTATGTGCAGCAGCACCACACTGGGCTGGATGCTGGAGGACTCTCCTTGACCTTGGAGGAAGGGTCAAGACTTGTTCTAAAGTGCAGCTTTATGGGTCATGTTTTACGTTCTTGAAGGCCGATAACCAGTCTGGAGGTTACATGCCAGGGTACATGATGGGCGCTGAGTATTTTTTACTTTTCTAACTGCTGCTGCTGGTTTCTGGAAGCAGTGGGGGCCCCACCAGGCTGACTCTAGCTCAGATGAAGTAGTAGATTGTTTTCCATGTTCTGGTCCATCAGGGAAGATGGAGGGAAGCCTCTGACTTGCACAGAGAGTCCTGAAATGGAATTTAGAATCTGCATGTCACGCTTTTGGATACACAAAGGAGTGATGTATGCACATTCTGTCCCTTTTATGTGAGAAAACAGCAGAAACGTGCTGGAATAAGAGCCACGGTAATGCACCCACTCAACCCACCCTTAGGCAAACAACTTTAAATGTTCTTATTTATTCATCCTGCCTTCAGAAACAAAAACATTCTAAGAACAGAAACAAATGAAATAATCTCAGCTACTATATTCTCTTCTAATCAGTATTGTGTATCATTTATATTAAATAGTAATCTCTTGTTCTGTTCCTTTTAGCTGCACTACTATGATTCCATTAAAGCAGTGATTTCTACCTCCAACCATGAACCTACAGCTTTAGTAATAGGTAACCATTTTACTCCTATTAAGGCCTCTAGGAATTTTTTTCAACTTAATGTTTCTCTGATTTACACACAGTTCCCTCTCCATGTCTGCAATTTTACCTGTGGTATAGTGCTGGTCACATTGCTGTCACCTGGTTGGCTTTATTTCTAGTAGTGTCACTGTATGTAAAATTGTAACTGGTGATGGGAGAATCTCAAAGTGTTTTTCAGTCTTCTGATTTAATTCAGCTAAGCATCCTATCATTAGGAGGCTAGAATGACCTTCCGCAGGTTCATATTGTGTCCTCAGGGCCAGCTGAGTCAGAAGGGAGGTCAATTTTTAAATGCCATATGGGGCTGCACAGGAGACGCACCAATCAGTGCATGTCCCCAATCCCTGACCAGCCCCATCCAGTTTGGGAGCTGAACCAACTGGCCATGGGCCTTCTGGCAGTAGGAGAGTCACAAGCAGATTTCACTGCTATGTACCCACTCCCATGGATTTACAGTACCTCTGACAAGGGCCTGCATCAAGCCCAGTATGTTTGTCCAAATTATCCAGTTCTCTTGTTTCCATCACAATTATGTGGCTATTAGCGGAAACCTTACAAGAACAAGCTTTTCCTGAGACGGCCAACAATTTCATTCCTGTTCCAGGTGGAAACACCATGAGAATAGCTTTTGCATGGTGTTTTATACACACTAATGTAGTGAGTAAAAACCTCTGTTATCTACTGTATAAAAGCCAGTTGCTTGGGACAATTTTACTACCCATCTCCTATTTCTCTGAAATATTTTCTAGTCCTTCTGATATTTTTATCAGTGTTTGTTCAAGAACATTGCTCAGTAGATAATTTGTACCCTCTCTGTGCAGGCTGTCATGCTGTCTAGAGTGGCTCACGACCATGAGTGCCTACCTCAGGGCAGACTGTCAAAAGCAGGGCAGACACCCCAAACTGGTAATTAGATTTCACCAACGCAGTAACAAATATGAACTCCTGGATCACTGAAACTGTCTTACCATGGAGTCACAGACAGTCCCCTTAGACTCTCCAGTCTATCGTACCACCCAGACAAGCTGGACTTAGTGATAAATTATACCAAAAATCACAAAATATTCTGGTTGCTTCCAGTCCCAAGAAACCAGTCTCTTACCCCAGATCAATTGGTACCCTAGATCTTACACCAAGGACAATGCCAGTAGCCAATCCTATAATAAACTATATAAAAGTTTAACTAGGAAAAAGAAATTAGAGTTAATTACAGGTTAAAATAAGCAAACATATGCACACAAATGAGTTACCATCTATGATTCTTAAACATGACAGAGATGTGGTAATATGTCAATTCAAAATGTAGCCTTTTATTTTATTTAAAGTGAATTGAGTGATGCTGTATTATACCACCATGTGTTTGGCTCAGGTTGCTACAGTTTCAAACTCAACAGCATGAAATTGCCTGATGCTTTTCTCAAATTTTGAAGCTCTAGAAACACATGGAGTCCAAGGGTAATGACCACAGACACAGTCACAAGTACAAAGTCTTATCTGTACTACAAGTTTTATTAAAGCAATAAGTAAAGTTACAATTACCCGTGCATATAGAAATCCTACAAAAACCTATGCAATAATTATGGCTGTAGTCATACTCACATCCTCAGAGATATTCTAGGGTCCAAAGGACCTCTCAATAGACTATCATTGCTAGAGGGATAGTTCCTGCTGGAGTTTCCCGTGGGCTCGTCCCTTAGGTCTTCCCACTTTTACCCAACCCTGGGAACCCTCTTCTATATTGTAGTTCTGACCACACCTAACACTTTTTATGCATGAAGGTGTCAACCCTCTTTTCCTTATCTGTACTTCCACACCCCGTGAATATTGGGGTGCTCGATTTTTCACAGGTTATTTGTAGTTCCTCTTATTCTCATTAGCATCTATGCATGACATGTATCCTGTGGTCCAGACAGACATTTAAAGATGTTACAATCAGGTGTCTACTGGCCTTGGACAATGCATTGCAGTCTATTGCAATCAATTTTTCTGTGACATCACCAATGGGCACATCTTTGGCAGTAATCCTGTGACTTTATAGGCATAGGGTTATTCCTAGGTCACTCACTCCTGTCAGGCATTCTTAAACCTATGGCCTAGTGTGGCTAAACTAAAGTCTTACAGGCCTCAGCTTGTAGGCATTGTGTTCCATCCATGCTTTACTTATACACCAACTACACACTTATCACTCCTAAATACTTATCAATCCTACAATTTAAATCTATTTAGCATACATTAATTGTATATGAAATAGAATATAAATTGACCATAACATCACACAATACAAGGATAAATGGATGATAAAATTAACTAATTAGCTACAAAAGTGTCTTTCAGGGCAGACCACAGGTAACTCCTGGGGATCTCTGCCTCACTTTACAGTCTCTGACCATGTGAAAGTTCAAATAGCAAAGAGAGGACAAATTTTCTTGTGCCCTGTTTTATCTTTTGCATTTGGCTTTCCAGTCCATGAGAAAAGCTCCCTTGCACATAGCATTTCCAAGGTGTGATAGGGCCATTCACCAATCCCTTGTATTTTCATGTTTCTTAATGGCTCATTTAATCTTGATTCCTGTGCCTGGGCTCACAAGTTCAGAGCAAACATTTTTAAAGTTATAAAGCAAAATGTACATAATTCCTTATTGTATAGTATGGAATTACAGTATGGAATTACAGGCATTACAAGTGAGATTAATGCATGCAGCAATTTACAAGCATTTCATAGAGTCTAAACACTAAATACATTCTTATAAGACAAATACCTATTTTGAACAAAACTAATATACAGGTGATCTGGTTTGGTTTCCAGCTATGAGTTTGTCAGTTCTTAGTTAACACTTCCGGCCTTGGCCAAAGCTGGCACTTGGTTTACCACTGTCATGCTGGTTGTGAAGAATAATCTTATTTTACGCAAGTTATACAGGAGAGTCTTGTTATGATGCAAAGTCCACAAACATTCATAGATTTTTTTTTTTTGAGGCCAGAAGGAACCATTAGATTATCTAGTCTAGGGGTTTCAAAACTTGGTTCACAGCTTGTTCAGGGTAAGCCCCTGGTGGCCTGTGAGATGCTTTGTTTACCTGAGCGTCCGCAGGTACGGCCGATTGCAGCTCCCAGTGGCTGCTGTTCGCCATTCCTGGCTAATGGGAGCTGCGGGAAGCAGCGCAGGCTGGGCCTTATGATGAAATCAAATGAAAGTCCTTACGTCTATTTCAGTTTCTTAAATAAGTGTCTCATTTGCTCTAGTCACATGAGTAAAACATACTAAAACTACTCCCTTAAGCAAGCTTATAAAACCCCTACCTAGTCTACTTAGCCCATCTAGATTTCAATTATTCCATTCTTTGCCTGTTGAGATTCCTTCCACACTTACTCCTAAGAGACTCGGAGGACAGGTTGACAAATATTAGAATTGGTTAGTGCATTCAGTGCACAGTCAACCTGTGGAACTCTTTGCCAGAGGATGTTGTGAAGGCCAAGACTATAACAGAGTTCAAAAAAGAACTAGATAAATTCATGGAGGATAGGTCCATCAATGGCTATTAGCCAGGATGGGCAGGGATGGTGTCCCTAGCCTCTCTTTGCCAGAAGTTGGGAATGAGCGACAGGGGATGGATCACTTGATGATTACCTGTTCTGTTCATTCCCTCTGGGGCACCTGGCATTGGCCACTATTGGAAGACAGAATACGGGGCTAGATGGACCTTTGGTCTGACCCAGTATGGCCGTTCTCATGTTATTTCAGAGCAGTTTCTTGCTGTTTTTGGTGAAGCTTTATTTCAGTTGCAATTATACTTTTTTTGACCATGTAATTTATAGTAATGTAATAACACTTCCATCCAGTGACCTCAGTGCATAGTAAAGTATTAATGAACAACACTGCTGTGAGTCAGACAAGTATTCTTACCCACAGTTTAAAGAGGTAACTGAAGTACAGAATGGTTAAGGGCCCATCTATACTGCAATCATCATAAATGTTAATTTCAGACAAAAAATACCCCAGCGTTTGCCGTCTGATTTCACCAGATGGTGGACACACACAATCTAGAGTAAGTCAAACTGACATAATGACAACAACAGCTCCCATAATTCATAAACATAAAATTCTTTTAAATCCCATCAAGATCTTATTTTCAATTAATAATAGATCTTTAATCTGTTCTGGAAGCACTGAGACCCCCTTGGTTAGAATCTTCTCAACAGCAACATTTTGTGGTCCATATTCTGTATTTCCAGCTTTTTATTTAAAAGCATCTGGCTTTGTGTGTGTGCATTTTCCAGATCCCCTCATTTTAGATCTTGGAGATGGAGAGGGGAGTTGAACGCCATTGTTTGTAGCATCCTTTGCCCCTTAATGTGGGCTTTTTTACTCCCCCTCATACTGGGATTAAACATCAGAAGTAGTCTTGGGAAAGCAATAGTGATATAGGAATGAGGCTTCAGAGACTAGTTTGCTTCTTCTTTGTATCTTATCTCCTGCCTCTCCTTCTTGGCCCTTTTCTTTGTTTTATTTTGCCTGAAATTAGAAGCAGCAGCAACAAATGTCTGTTCTAGACATTGGCGCAGAGTCTGTGCCTCGATAAATGATGAGCAGCATGTTTAAAATGCCGTTCAGTTTGAACCTCTCCTTGCCAGAACGATGTTAACAAACTGTAAGTTCCAGAAGGTGAACCTGGAGAGATTTTCTTATCAGGAAAGATCAAAATAGCTAAATGCTGACTAATGGGAAACATGGTAAAAGAAAGGGTTCTGAAAATAGTAAACCCCAGTGGGATTGGGAGGAGGAATGTTTTTAGCATAATAAAAGGGGTATAAATAGGACATGAAATGAAGAAAGAGAATTATAAAATGACTATTGGGAGAAATTTCCTGATGCTGAAAGTTATTAGTACCTAATCTGCGGGAGGTGGTGGGACCCAAGATGTCTAGGACATTTTCAAATTTATCAGCTGTTTAGGTGAGTATGTTCTTTTTCAGGGTGTACTGTTGGCGCTACTAATGTTGAGCAGCAGATGAAAAAAATAAAGGACTGTGGGAAAGATTCAAAAGCAAGAAAAGGGCCGGTGATACCTAGAATCCCTCCAAAGAGAGCTGAGGGAGATCAGACTGTGTTTCAGGTCTACAAAGGAGTAAAAACATTTGCATTCTGTAAAAAAACAACCTCCTAGTGACAGGCGGAATGGATCGAATCATCCGGATGTGGAACCCTTACATGTCTGGGTAAGAGACGGTTACAGTACTCATTGAAAGAATCTGTTATGAAGGACTTTGTAACCACATATTAATGATAAGTAATTCTTACTATCTAGTGTATTGCCCTGTTAATCGGGATCAGCTAAGTGAATTGAGGAGACAATCACAAATGTCCTGGAAATATGCCTGAGTTTACAGAATGGCTCTGCTGCACTGTTGATAATATCAACACACACACACGCTTGCAGCAAAATCATTCCCATAAGTTTAAATATTTTATATAAATATAAAAATTCCTGGACTATCCTCTGTTTTTTATCTAAGATCGGTTTGAAGTTTTGCTTGTGCCTAAGACCCCAGTCCTATGATGATCTCTGTCCACACGGAGCTCATTGTATAATTGAGGCCTAGGAATCCATTTGGTGGCATTAACATCTCATGAAAAGCTGAACTCTGCAAGCAGATGCTATTGTTTCTTGTACATCACTCCAAGTGCCTGATACTGGAAGACCACTCTGCTTATGTGGGTTTTTTTTGGTGAGAAAACACAAAATACAATTCCCACCAAACATATGAGTAGTCGCAGATTCCAGCCCATTTATTTTTATTTTGTTTTATAAGAAACAATGAATTTGAAACTGCTTAATATTGACCTGTTCTTATTAAATTTCAGCCGACCAACAGGCATGCTCAGAAACCACACAGCGCCAATCTGTTACCTCTCCATATCTGCAGAAGATGCGAAAATATTTTCCATATCCACAGACAACACCATTAAGGTCTCACTATATACAGCAAGTGTCTGATATCCTACCCCAGTTCTCTTTTTTGTATTCGCGGAAATAAATAGAAATATATTCAGTCTAATAAACATGAACACATACATAATAGTACAGTATAGAAATGTAGGGCCTGATCTAATTCTCAATGAAGTCAATAGAAAAGACTCCAACCGAAATTGGAGTTGGATCTGGCCCTTAAACAGATCAATGTAGAGAGCAATTCCAGCAAGTACTCCTGTGAGTCAATAGTCTCTTAGGTTTTCAGTTGTACTAAATGCATTTGTTGCTAAATGTTTCACAAATTATGATAAAACTTCAGGGATCTAGTACTCTGAACTTTTTATGTTGTTCTACTTTAGAAAGTGACTTTGTGTTTTGTTTTTTAATTTAGAGATCTTGCTTCTATTGTAATTTCTCTAGGATAGGTATTTCTGTTTCTTCATTTGCTGAAATCTCCCTAACTAGGCATGTATTACATACACAATGCATGTATTACACGTGTGTATTACACAAAAAAACAACAAAAACAACCACCCTACATTAAAATAATATTATTAAGGTTGGAAATGCTAGAATTAAGGTTTCCTCATGCAACCTTAATTTGGACTCTTCTGCACAGGCAGACTATTTTAAATACACATACTATTTTTTCCACAATTCTTTTGCCTCATTCAGTGCACAGAATGGATAGTGCTCACTTAATGAGAAGCTATCAAATATTCTGCTTTCTTCTTGTTCAACGTGTGATCTCATTAATTCTGGCATTTTCCTAACTTTTGGGTGCTTGACTTTGCAATCTTTTAATGTGGATTTTTATGTGTAATTTCTTAGGTTTTCAAAAAGCTAACTGAAAAAACCCTGAAATTCTGTCACATGAAATCATACTGACATTTGCATGGGTCATCAGCGGAGGTGGAACTTGATCCACCGCACAGACCTCTACCTTTTGAGCTAACAGGACAACTGGTAGCAGTAGTAGGTTGTCATCGTCTGTGTAGACAAGCACTACAGAAGAATGAGACACTTTGCCAGTGTGTGACCCACTCAGGGATCTTGGGCTCCATTGAGGTTTTGACGGGGAGTGTGCTCTAGTGATATTTTGTGCATTCCCCTGAAGTGTGACCCTTTCTTCCCCATCTCCTTCAACTTATCCCTGTCCCAGTTCTTTCTTTTCCACACCCCAGGCTTCTCATCCCTTTCCAAGTCCCATTCTCTCAGCATAGCCAGTCCCAGTCTCCACTCCTCAGATTTCTCATCCCACCCCACAAGTCTCCTTGCCTAGCAAGTCCTAGTTCACTCCTCTGCATTACCTGTCACCATCTTCCCCTCCACCCCAGTAACATTTCATCCCCAGTCTCCTTGACAAGCCAGTCCCCCACTCCTGGATCTCTCCAGTTCCAGTTTCTATACTCCCCAGCTCCTTGTCCCATTCTACTCCTCCCAAACCCCAGTAGGTTAATCTTTTGTCCCCTCTATATTTGAATCAGACAGCTTCCTCCTCCACACTGCCTGGGCCCAGCAGGGTGTCAGTCTCCCTGTTCTCAGTGTAGGTGTTCAGACCAGGGCCGACTCTGGCTTTTTTGCCGCCCTAGGCAAAAAAGCCACCACCCCCCCCAGTGCGGCAGGTGAGGGCGCCGAGCCCGGCCGCGGGTCCGCAATCCCCGACCAGCCAGAGCGCGGGGGGGAGGGTGGAGAGCCCCCGGCAGCCAGAACGCCGGGAGCAGGGCGGAGAGCCCGGCTGGGGCTCTCCGCTCTCCCCGACCAGCCGGAGCGCCGGGGGGAGGGCGGCGAGCCCGGCCGGGGCCCCGCTCTCCCCGACCGGCTGAAGCACCTGGGGGAGGGCGGCTTGGTGGGCTGGTGCCTGGAGCCGGCCCTGGTTCAGACCCAGCATGGCCCACAGCAGCCAAGAGCTGCAATTGCAGGGAAAGTCTTGCTTATCCCTGGGCTGGAGCATGCTTCAGGGAGATTAGCTGCTAAAATTAATCTCTACTTAGCATGTGCGAACTGTGATTTTTTTTTAAAAAGAAGGCTTATAACTTTGCCAAATTTGGCAGAATTTCACAGGGATGGCAAAAAGCACATCCCTGACACAAAAGCCCAGCCCCTTGCTAAAACTAAAGCATTCTTTCTCCAAAGTAAGGAGGAGCTAGAGCTTTCCAAAGACAAGTTTGATAGATTTTTTTTTAACATGAGTAAAGCACATTTTTTCTTACCCTTGTTCTCAGAAACTGCTGAACCATTTTGGCTGAAATTTTCCAAAATTATTTAGCTTAATGCAGAATGGAAAACTTCAGCTCAAGCAGTTAAAATTTGCTAAAATAAGCAAATAAAAAAGAAAACAGGGTCTTATAATGGAAAGTGTTGAGCAACCTTAATAATAGGCAGTGCTACCAACCCTGCCTATAGTAATAATATTAGCCTTTGCACTTCTTCCAATGTATGACTTCAGTATTAAGTTTAGGTTTCTGACCACTATATTAGCGAGCACTATTATATTATTATTTTTAATTACCAATTTAATTTCCAGAAGCATGTCTTTAGAACTGTACTCTGCACTTTATAATCAGACATCTTGTGGGGTTTGTGTGGGTCTTCTGTGTTTCCAGAGGATTCCGCTGTTTTTCTCCAAGTTTGAACCAAGTATGTATACATCCATTGTGAGGACCTTTTCTGTTTGATTAACTTATTAATTGCCCCTAATTTAACATGATGCAGGGGTTGACTTGTTTTATAAATGTAAATTATTGTTCATCATTTTCCATTATACCATATGTGCCAAATTCATCCTTAGTGTATATCCATTGAAGTCAGTGGGCATACACCGAAGATTAATTTAGATATAGGGCTAAATTCATCTCTGGTATATTTCCACTGACTTCACTGGGTATAGACTAAGGATGAATTAGGCATACATGGTATGAAGGAAAATCACAAACAGTAGTCTACATTTATATAGCACCTTTCATCTCAGAGCACTTTCACCAAGTAAGGGCTAGAGTAGGGGTGGGCAAACTATGGGCTGGGGGCCAGATCCAGCCCCTCAAGACTTTGGATCCGGCCTGCGGGATTGCCACCCCTGTGGCACTGCGGGCCCCGCACTGCTCCCAGAAGCGGCTGACACCACGTCCCAGCGGCCCCTGGTGTGGGTGGAGCAGAGGGCTCCATGTACTGCCCTCGCCTGTGGGTACCTCCCCCTGCAGCTCCCATTGCCCGGGAATGGGGAACCGCAGCCAATGGGAGATTCGGGGGAGGTACCCACAGGCAAGGGCAGCGCGCGGAGGCCAGGGGCCACAGAGGCGCCCCGCTGCCATCTCGAAGCTGCTCCAGGTAAGCGGCGCTGGGCTGGAGCCCAAACCCCTTTTGCACCCCACACCCCAACTCCCTGCCCTGAGCCCCCTGCCACACCCCTCCTGCACCCGAACCCTCTGCCCTGAGTCCCTTCCTGCACACTGCACCCCCTCCCACACCCCGCACTCCCTCCTGCACCCCCCACACTCTGCCCCAGCCCTGCATGCAATTTCCCCACCCAGATGCGGCCCTCGGGCCAAAAAGTTTGCCCATCCCTGGGCTAGAGTCCGTGGAAAGACTCTCAGGACTAGATCTATAAAACTACTTAGGTGCCACTGATATTCTCACAACCACCACTCAGCTGCTGCCTAACCCTGTAGGTGCCTAAGTTTCTACCAGTGGGTAAGCACAAAAAGGTGCCTGAGTCCTGATGCTGCACCACAGCTAACTAGCTGCTTAGAGCCCTTGTTTGTGCCTAAGCCCTATAGGATTCTGAGACTAGCATGTGTGTGTTGTGTATATATAATACCTAATAGCCTTGTGGTTTGGGCACTCACCTAGGAGGTATGTGACCTGGGTTCATCTCCCTACTCTGCCTGATTCAGATTATGGACTTGCACCTGGATTTTACATATTCCAAGGGAGTAACATAACCACCAGGCTATTGGGTATCCTGGCGTTGGTCTCTCTCAATCTCCCCTGTTGAAGCAGTTCTACTTAATTATTCACTGGAGCAGAGATTTGAACTGGAGTCTCCCACATCTCAGGTGAGTACTCTAGCCTCTGGTCTATAGAGTCAATCTCTCTGGCCCTGTGAGTGAGTAAGTATGTATGTATTTATACAAAGAGGAACAGCTCCAACAGGAGAGATGGAGAGATTTACCCCAGGATAATCTCTCTTGTAG